GAGCCGGAGCCATGGCCGGCGCCGCGTCCCCGTGCGCCAATGGCTGCGGGCCCGGCGCGCCTTCGGACGCCGAGGTGCTGCACCTCTGCCGCAGCCTCGAGGTGGGCACCGTCATGACTTTGTTCTACTCCAAGAAGTCGCAGCGGCCCGAGCGGAAGACCTTCCAGGTCAAGCTGGAGACGCGGCAGATCACGTGGAGCCGCGGCGCCGACAAGATCGAGGGGGCCAGTAAGTGCACCCCCTTTCCCGGTGCCCGCCGCGCGCGCCCCGCCGTCGCCCGAGGGACTTGGGCAAAACTTTCGGGGCCCTCCCCCCACCGCCTGCCCCGCCCCCGCCGCGTCTCGGGGGTGGGGGGTCCCCGATCTCCGGACAGGACCCCCCTCCCGCAGCTGGGGAGCTGGGGGAGGGTGGGAGGGAGTGTTCCCGGCTCCCTGCCCGGAGGCCTCGAAATCCAGGCGGCGGGCCGGCCAGCAGGGGCCGCGCGGAGACCCCCCCCCCCAAGCCGGGGCATCGGGGCTGGCGAGGGGCGCCCAGGCCGCGCCCCCCACCTCGCCGGGAACAGGGGACCGCAGCGGATGGCAGCAACCACCCCCGTTTTTCCGGAAAGAGGCGCAGCCCTCGGGCCCAGGCGCCGGGCGGGTTTGGGGTCTCGGCGGGACCCCCCCGCTCATCACCCTCTTGGGGAGAGGCAGCATCATGGTGGTGGTCCCGGTGGGCTCGGGCTAGCCCGCGAGGAGTGTGTGCCGCTCTGCCCAGCTGGCCCTATTATCCCGATGCTGAGTTTGGAGGCCGATGTGGGTCCGCAGAACCCCCGTGCCACGATCCCCTGCTGTCCTGGGGGACGAGCGCCCTGGGCGCTGGACCCCAGAACTGCCCGCGGGAGCTCTGGAGTCAGGCTCGGCTTCCAGCGATGGTCAGCAGGCTGACGTCCATCCCTTTGTGCCCCTCACCCCGTGCCCGGTGGCCGCTTCTCCGAGCTTCCTGCCCCTGTGCCTTCCTAGGCCTGAGCCCGCCTTGGTCTGGTCAGGTCTCCAGTGACGGGTGAGGACAGGCCATTGGGGGATTTTTGAAGCACCTCGCGCCTTTCTGAGTGTTAACTCCGCTCAAGAGGTGCTCGTGCTCTGCCCTCTGTGCCCCCCACCTTCAGGGGTGAAGAGGTGATGTGTCTGCCACCATCATCACAGTTGCTTCCTTCAAGGACCTCCCTCACCCCATCCCAAGTGTTATGTTAGAACCAGACTCACAATGAAGTCTGGGTGCAGGGAAGGAAGTGGTACCCTCCAAGGGAGGCCCCGACAGACTTCCTGAGCCCAGTGTGCATGCGGGGAGATGCTGGGAGAGACTGGGAGGAAGGCAGGAAGGCAGGTCTTGTGGGGAGGCAGCCATCCTCAACTACAAGCTCACATAACTGCTGAGAAATGGTGGCTGCTTCCTCGATACTTCCATCTCCCTTTCCAGCCGTTGGGATTTAAAAAAAAAAGATGTGGGAAATAGGATTGTAAAGTGGAGGAAGGACAGAGACTGCAGAGAACAGGGATAGCCCGGAGAACATCCCTCTGGCGTCAGGCTGCAGGCGCAGCCCCCTCCTTTTCTCTGCTTCTGTGATCTTCCCTGTGCAGCCCTGAATTGGTGACACTGGCTGGAGGTTCCCAGATACAGATCTCCTGGGTAACAGGCTGCGTTTAAAACAGTGCGCGCGTGACCAGCAGGCAGTACTTGTAGCACAGTGGTGGAAGGCAGAGCGGAGTTTAGAGCGCAGACAGCAGATCTATATCTATCTGAGGCTGCTGCCGAAAGGCCGGCAGTTTGAATCTACCAGCTGCTCTAAAGACAGTCTGCTCCTGTTAAGATTTACAGCCTCTGGAACTTGGTTGAGGTTCCCCACGTGTCCCTCAACTCAAAGCACTGTGCCCTCCAAGCTTTCTTCTTCCCCTCTCCTTCCCTCTCCCAGTCATCTGAGTCTTGGTTTCCTTGTCTGTAGAAAGGAGTTAGGAATATAGTTACCATATGTGGTTTCTCTGGGGCTTAAGTGAGATGATTAAAAACATCGAGCACAGTGCCTCACTTGGAACTGTGTAATGAATGTGAGCTGTTACTAGTAAGACAATAATAATAGTAGTAGACTTTGTCCTCTCAGTCCTAGGAGGTGGAGGGTGACTGCAGGAGAGGCTGACGGTGCAGGAAGGGAGGCTGGGGGACCAGGCTCACATTTCCTGTAAAGTGCTACCCTGAAAAAGAGAGGAAATGATTTTGTTGCCCCAGCCCACCCACTCACGCACCCACTCACTCACCGCATCTAGCAGTGTTTCTCTGGGGAAGCATTTGGGCTTTTGCACGGATGACCCCTGGGTGTGACTTTGTGTATAATTTAGCATCTAGACAGCCTGGATGTGAGGGGGACAACAGGCTAGTCCAAGGTGTCTCGAATTCTTAGGGGATAGAGGCAGGAATGCAGAGGACCCGATTGCCCCCAAGGGTGGACCAGCAGGAAACCTGCAGATTCAGTGAGCTCATCAGTTAACTGTAGATTTGAGAGGTTAGGCAAAGGGTGTGGAAAGGGGCCTAGGTTCTTTGATTTTGAAGCCACAGACTGAAAGAGTCTGGGGAGAAAGGCAAGCCAATGCTTGCAGGGAGTTTAAGACCTAGTAAATGGAGCCTCTCACCAAAGCCCTGCCCTGCTTCTCTGGGTCCTGGTTGGTGGGTTCTGATGTCTGCAGCCTCCCTCTGCAGGCTCTCATGGACCTGGCCGGAATGGCCAGAGGGCAGGGGAGAGTTGGACACTATCACCTGGGCCCCTTGCCAGCTGGTCTTTTGCCCAGGTGCCTCAGGTGTCCAGTCTTCTCCCACAGACTCTGTCAGAGCACCCTGCAGTGCTGGTAGCCCGACGAGAGAGCCTTAGCACCCTCAGGGCGCTGGTGGACCTGAAGGACGGTGTGGTTCCTGGGCAGTGCACTTGGATCTAAGACCACGTCTGTCCTGCCCCTGCCTCTGACTTCACCACTTGTGGCCATTTCTCAGGCCGAGTTTGGCCCAAAAAAGGAGGAGAGAAGTGCTCTGTGCTGGCTGGTATGGTGATAGGACGGGAACCAGTGCCTTTGGCGCTTTATGTTCCTGATACCAGCACAAGGGAATAAAAAGCTATTGCCTGCTTCCTGTTGAGTGCTAAAGAGACCTTTTTATTACAGCTCCTTGGCGGCTCCTCCCAAGGGCCTCGGGAAATGTTGGGAATGCCATCCCATTTTACAGCTGAGGAACTAGGGATTAGCTGATGGCACAGGTCAGAGTACTTGGGGGTGACGTGACGATCTCAGCTCCCCACTTAGTGGCTGGCCAGCCGATCAGAGATGGTGCCACGCTCTGGGGTGCGGTGACCCTCAGGCCCCATGTTGCTGCTCTGACAGATGGAACCTCTGCATTAGCCTAGACTTTGCAGGATCAAGCCCTCCCCACCTTCTCATGCCCAGTCTGCCTCGCCCCTGTAGGCTCTGACAACGTGCTTTCCTCTCTTAGTGTCTTCAGGCTTCAGCCGTGTACAGTGAGGTCTGGTCAAGAGTCACTGGGGAGACAATAGCCATGGGTGGCAGCTTCATGGAAGGACTCTGAATGCTGGCCACACGTGTCTGGTCACTTTGGAAGCCCCAAGGCTGTAGTCCTTAGCTGTTTCTTCAGTGGATACTCTTGGTGCCAGGCCTTTTTAGGTGGTGAATGAAAATAAGTTCTTGCCCTCAGAGAAGTAAAATGGACAATGAGAGTCCAGCGTGGTACCTTTGATGACAGTTGTGGGTGGGTGGGAGAAGCAGGCAGCCAACCACCTCCGGGAAGCAGTTGGCCGGGCTGACCTCCATGACTGTAGTTATCGGGCTGATGATGGGAGAGGCCTGGTTGGAGCGAGTTGACCAGCAGCCTGCCTGAGGGTCCTTTCCTGTGGGGACCAGGCCAGGTCTGATGAAGGCTTTTCCTTTACTGACTGGTTGTTCCCTGCAGGGAAAGAGGCCAAGAGCACGTGTCCGGATCTCTAGTACTAGCCATCCCTGCCTGTGTGTTTGTTTCCTGCTTGACTGTAGTTTTTCCAAGGAAGTGAGGGCTCTCGTGTTTCCTCAGCACCCCAGGCTTCCCGTCGTGCAGCTTTCCAGACCAGCCCTGCCATGGTCGCCTGGCCAGCTGCAGTGCTCTGTCTCGTGACCCTGGAGTAACCGGGTGCACCCAGCCCTGGGGCCCACTAACACCTGCGGCCTCTCCCAACGCTACATGTGTGGCTTCACAGATGCCCACAGGCCTGACAGACTTGAGTCACTATTTAGAGATCTTGGACTCATCTTGCCTTGGGTAGCACCTTGGAACGAGAGATACTTATTTGCTTAATAAATATTTATGAATACCTCTTCCTGTTTGCTCAATGCTGGTCACTGAGGGCTCGAAACATGGTTAAGACGTGGTCTATGCCATTGAGAATTCCTAGTGTCCCAAAAGGTACAGACTTGGAAATGTGATTTTTGACCCTGTGTTTTATGCACTGTGAACTCCCAAGTGCCAAGGTACCAGGTCTGCTTAGTGAGCTGGGGACTGAGAAGAGAGCACACCAGGAGAGATGGAGTTGGAAGGGTCTAGCACTTGCTTGTGCCGGCTGAGGGACTGGGGCTCCCTCTGCAAAGGTTGGGACATGAGGCTGTTCCGTGAGGTGTGGTGCTCAGCAGGATACACTCCAGCCTAGAGGCGGCAGAGACAGAAGCAGGACTGACCATCTCTAGTCGTCTGGGAAATCGCTGCTGGTAGATATTGGGGAGGGAGGCCAGTGAGCACCTGCATTTTGCAGGAGGTGATGAGATGAGGCGTAGCAGAGGGTGGGCCCACGTCTTGAGCCGTGAGACCAACTCTGCTTTGTAGTTAAGAATTGGGGCACTAACGTCTGGCTGCCTGGGTTTAAAACCCCTGTGATCCTTGGTATGTAACTTAAGCATTCTGTCTGGCCACCTCCTCTGTAGAGAGGGATAACAGCAGATATCATAGCATTTTTCTGAGTGTTTGACAAGGACCTGCTTCATTTAAAGTGTAGCATAGTGTAAGTGTGTAAAACAGAGGAAGATAAGGATTCAGTTCATAGGAGGATCTGAGGAAAACGGCTTACATGCAGCGCTGAGAGGGCTGGTGCCTGCCCTGCAGGCTCTTTGACTTGGAGACAAGGTAGCTTGCCTGTCTGTGAACTCAGGGCTGTTTCTCACTGCTGACTC